ACACACACACACACACACACACACACACACACACACACACACACACACAAGGCTCATATGGCGGCAGCAGCCTTGGTCTGAGCCTTCCTGAGACTGGAGGGTTGAGATCAGGGCGTGCGACAGTTGTCAAAATAAAGCCACGGAGTGTGGACACACAAACGTTTCAGAAGTGGAGAATAATTCCTTTTCAATAGAATCCCCCCACCACCACATCTACACTTGGTTTCAAGAATCATCTTTCCTCTCACACTGCGGTGTCTCCGCCAGAGCCTGTCGTGAGGTTGTGGAAGCCCTGTTTTTTTCTTATTCAGTTGTGAGGATCCGGCTGTTGCCGGCCTGCAGCTCTGTCGCAGACCCTGCGCAAGCTTGCTTCTCATCTGCTGCACACGCCACACTGCAGCGGAGACACTGTGGGTTGGGGTGGAGGTAGGGACAAAGGCTAGCCGGAGTGAAAGAAAGAAACCCTGCCAAGGCCGGCCCTACCCCTCTCTAACGAAAGGGCGAGGGAAATCCGAGAAACAGGAGGCGAGAGACCGCAGCTGGAACAGGCGTCCTGCCAGGAGGGTTATGTTAAAGACAAAAAATTAATCTAGCTTTACAGCTGGTGTAGACTAGGCTGTTTCTCCATCCTTGGCTCTCCAGGCTCTGCCGGCTGCAGAGAATGAGCGAAGGAAGCCCCAGTTTCTGCCAAAAGGAAACATAAAAAGCGAGGCTGGAGACTGGGCCACTGCAGGGTTGGAGGCGAGGGTGTCTGGGAGTTGCCTTTGGCAGCGGCGTCTGGGTCCTCAGCCCGGAGTGGCTTCTTTCAAGACAAACAAAGGCGAAGGTGCAGAGGCTGAGAACCCGGAGATGAGGAAATCAATTGTCATAAAAGAGATATTGAGAGAGAGAGAGAGAGAGAGAGAGAGAGAGAGAGAGCGCGCAAAAGAGTGCGAGGGAGAGAAGCTAGAAGAGGAATTCAATGCCGTGCGCGCAGCAATAAAAGAATATGACCGCTATAAAAGTTTATAGGGTATAAATTTCTGAAGGTTAAGAAACTAAACAGCAGCAAAGCAAACAGTGAGGGGAAACTTTCCGGAGATGAGCCTCAGATGAGCCTGGGCTCCGGATTTGGTGGAAGAATGGATCGGCCTTGTTATGAAAGCCCCCACCCTCACCCTCAACCCTTTTGCATCCATGTCTGAGGCTTGGGGTCTGGAACTTGGGAATCGGGGGCAGTGGGGTGAGGTTCCCCGAGGGTAAAAAGTAAAGAAGCTAGCAGCTGGGAGGAAGAATGGTTTGTTGTCATTAAAGCTTCAGCAATCGAAATTCTGACTGTTGTCTTTGTTCTTTATACCCCCCTCTGGAACCGCCAGTCATAAATAAGAAACCTTTGCACACGCGGACACACACACACACACACGGACACAGACACACGGACACACACAGGATCCAGCAGGGCCAGACGTAGGGGAGAGTAGCCTCTTGATCCTTCTTCAGTTCCGTTCCATCCCCACAGCCCTTCTCATCCCTCACAAAAAGCCCAATTGTTACCCCTCAGCGTGTGAAACAATCTTGTAAGGCTTAAAACGTGATGATTTCCTTCCTTCCTTCTTTCTTTCTTTCTTGCTTTCTTTCTTTCTTTCTTTCTTGCTTTC